GGGCGCAGTAATTTCTAAAACAAACAAAAAAATGGGTGAAAAAAATTATAATGGATCATTTTCTTTAACCAATACCTAATATGTATTACAGGATGGAATATATGAATTTATGGATACAACATCTTTAATTAATATCTGGAAACATCCCTCAGGGAGAGGAATCTCTAATGCTTTTCAAAGTTGTTCATAATCTGGGTTTTTGCGTACAGTGTATGTAGAATTTGAACCGGATGGTTTTTCAACTATGCAAGTACCAGATTTGATTGAAATTGTTTATATTTTAGAGGAAGTTCTCATAAATTGCATCCACTTACAACACTGTACCAGAACTATTACTATAGTGGCAGTCTAGTGCAGGGGAGTAGTGGTTGCATCATTGCGCTGGGAATCCAGAAGGTTCTGACTTCAAGCCCCACTCCCACAGACTGCCACCCTGGGTCCCTAAGCAAAGGCCCTTTACCCCACACTGCTCCCCGGGCGCCGTACAAAGGCAGCCCACTGCTCCCCAAACTGGTGAGTTAATGCAAAGAGTTTATTTCGTTGCTCTGTACTTGTGACAGTGTGATGACAATAAAAGCTAAAGAAGAAAAAAAAGACAAGTCAAAAACACAATGCAAGCGAGGGTCCAATGTTGCTACATGCTCATCCATTCTGCAAGCCGATGACTTGATGGAATCAGCTGTTTTCTTTGCTTGAAAATGTTTTACCGATGTAATTTGTATGTTTTGATTTTATTATTTGAAGCAGTTTAGGATGGTGTTTTTCTCAACTGGCCCTTAATAAGTAAACTGAATTTTATTTTGTGGCACCATAAAAACATTTAATCGGGAAGGTGTTTGATTTATCTGTGCTGGAAAGCTAGTATTTCAATCAAGCATAAAGGTGTCGTATCTGATGTAGGCTCTTTAGCTGCTTCAGACTTCAGATAGCTTTATCAGAAGTTTTGACTTCTCTGAATAAATCCAGAATAAGTATCTGGGTTTATGCGCATTTGAGTGTCATCTGACAAACAGACGCTGCTGGTATAGGATCTTTAATATAACATTAAAAAAGCCATTTTTGATGTATCTCTCACCCCAGGGTGCTCTTACCACCCTGTTGGACCCAATCCCACACCCCCCACTAAGCACTAACCCTTTAGAATGATAGAAAAAAGGGTCACACAAATGTGGAAATTAGAAATATGTAGTTAAGAGTTAAAAGATATACAATAAAATACTGTACAGTAAAGTGTTTTAACAATATAAAAACTGCACCTGGAGAATAAATAACCAATATACAGCTATGGCCCTTTTTACAGTAATGGATATTTGAAATTAGCAACATCAGAGATGTGCAAAATGACAGCAGCATGTTATTTAACTGACTACGATAGAAACTGTGCAAACTGCATGAATGTAACAGCTTATTGAGGTTGTTGAGAACAGTGGTGGTTACAGAGTCTTCCAGCTGCTGGGAGGAAGGATCTGTGATAACGCTCCCTGGTGCATTTAGGGTGCAGCAGTCTGTAACTGAAGGAACTCTCCAGTTCTGCAACAGCTTCCTGCATGGGATGTGAAACATTATCGAATAGAGTTGTTAATTTAGTTAGGATTCTTTTGTTTCCCACCTCCTGCACTAAGTCCAAAGGCCATCCAATCACAGAGCTGGCCTTCCTAAACAGCTTACCCAGCTGCTTTCTCTCAGCTACAGATAAACCCCTCCAACAGACAGCTCCATTGAAGATGGCTAATGCCACAACAGAGCCGTAGAAGGTCTTTAGGAGCGTTCCCTGCACTTCAAAAGACCTCAGTCTCTTCAGCAGGAAGAGTCTGCTCTGACCTTTCGTATACAGAGCGTCAGTGTTGTGAGTCTAGTCCAGTTTTTTATTCAGATCACCACCTGGGTACTTATAAGATTCCACTATCTCAATATCATTTCCCTGGATGTTCACTGGTGTCAGTGGGGTGGATCTGCTTCTGCAAAAGTCTACCGATAGCTCCTTGTTCTTTAAGGCCAGAACACACCGAATCCGATTTTGCATCCGATCCGACAGAAAATCGTGTTGGACGAGGTTGTGGCTGACTCTAATGCAATCTAACTACTAAAGCTCTGCAGATCTTGTGAGGTAGTTTAGCCATTAGTCAGGCCCTCGAGGATTTGAGTTCAAGGGCACAGTTTTAGACTCTGTTAAGGTGCTAATTCGTCCTCTATCAGCTAACGCCTGCACAGCAGTGCACTCGATATCACTGTTGCTTTCCAGCCAAAAGGTCTTGCAGATAGTTTTTCTTTGTTTTTCCTTTTGTATTACTGAGTTTTGTCTGTGTACTTCAGCCCCTTCCACAGCGCAAAAAACCTGACTTTTAGGGTAATTGATCTCTACCTAAATGGTCCATAGGAAGGGGTGGGTAAAATAAGTGAATAATCGATGCATTGCAATTATTACACGCAAAATTCATAATCGATGCGGGAGCCCCTCAGAATCGATTCACCTCCTGACCGTTGGGGGGCACTGTACACAGAGGTGAAGACGGCTGTGTGGGAGTCGCTAAATGCTGCTGAAAGAGTCACGCTGACATGCGATGGCTGGACTTTGAGAGCGACTGACCCCTACATAACCATCACTTCTCATTTCATATCAAATGAGTGGGAATTAGTTTCAAAGGTGCTTCAGACCAGGCCGCTTCACGGAAGTCAGAGAGGGAGCATGTTGATGGAGGCATAGCGAACATGTTGACGGAGGCAATATACCAATGGGGCATAACCGGAAAAGTAGCCACTGTTGTTACAGATAATGCTGTCAACATGCTAGTTGCTGTCGATATCACTGAGCTATTACATGTTGGCTGCTTTGCCCATGTGCACAACTTGGCATCCCAGGCTGCTCTTAAAACTCCTGGAGTCACACGGCTTCAGAAATCAGCATTGAATCGAATCGCATCGGATCGGATTGAATCGCAACAGCAATAATGGAAATCGAATTGAATCGTGAGGTTCCTAACAATACCCAGCCCTATCCATAGGTATGTTTGTTCACGCATTGGCTCCATTCAAATGCATTAAATAGGTAAGGATATTTTAGGCCATAGCATAAATCCATTATGGGGGGTCATTAAGAAGCGCTATCGAATAGTGCTAGCAGTTGAGATGAGATAGATTTGGGTAACTTAGGGTTTGTTTTTTTATGTAGTTCTTTTCCGGGAAGCTGCAGTGCCAATGTGAACAGTGTCATTCATGTCTATTTGTAATGAGACCCGTAAGTCTAAAGCCTGTTTGGATTCAGCAAAGCAGTTTGGAGCCCCTTTCCTATCCACTATAGTGTTCTCGTTTTTGAACCTGGGAATGGTGAAGCAATAGAAGCTACACGTTGAGGCATTTGCATCAAACCGGTCCGCTCTGTCTCTGTTTTGCCATTATACATTAGTCTAGAATATACACCACCTGTTTACCCTGAACACTAAAGACAGCTCAGAAATATATAAAATACAGAAACATATAACATCCAATGTACACATTTTAGATCTCTGGGCTCTTTGCATTATCCTCATATTCTGAATAACAAATCCTTCTAGCTGCACTTTTATCACTGTTATCAAGGTTGCTGTTTTTAGGCCTGAATGCCATTTAACTAATATAATTTAATTTTAAAATTGGATTTGACAGCTAATTTGACAGCTGACTGACAAAATTTGACAGGGGTTGAATGAGAAACTCTTCAACCCAATTAAACTTTCACTTGATTCATGTTTTTTTTTTTTGTTTAAATGATCTGCAACATTCTTAAAATGATTTACTTCATGGCAGCACTGAGCAAATTTCTAGATTAAAAGAAGCTCTTCAGAAATGTTAAACACATGAGACAATCAAAAATGTGATTTGTTTTTAAAATCCCACTTTATTTAATAACCAATACCACCACCAACCTCTTATAAAAACCCTAAATTGTGGAAAACTCAGAATATGAGGTAAAACTGAAAATATAGCAAACTGGATGCTTCATGATCTGAAGCAATACCTTCCATATGGGGCACACTGTGAATTAGTTAATGTTTAACACTGTCTGACGTAAGGTTTCCATCAAACATGATGAATCTGACACTTGATATGATAAAAAGAAAAAAAAAAAATAGTACAAAAACCCCCACAAAAGTCATAGCGTTAACCTGTGGTGTTTTACAATAATATTAATAAATAACACTGGATATGAAAACCCTGAATATAAATGGAGAGTAACATCTTTAGGGCTGGGGAAACATTAATGCATGACAATGCCTTTAAGTAGTACCGCCTCACTGATTTACAGAAATCAGTCTCCTTATGTGCCTCCTCCAATTAATAAAATCACAAGCAACAATACTCAGTGCTAAGGATAGAACAAAATGATATTAAAGGAAAATCAGAAATCCTGTGAGAAAAAAATCACCTCTTTTAAATTCACCTTAGAGAAATAGAGCCTGTCCTATTGCAGCAATTAAGCGGCTCCCAAGGGTTCTTTTTTTAATGAGGCAGAGTTGTTAATGCCTAAGGTGCAGAAATGTTTTTGGTTGTCTTTAAAAAGGCCAGACAGCACTTATTTAGTGGTAAGACTGAAAATGGAATTGCCAAAATGAAATTTGCTTCAAAACAATAAAAGAAAATCCATATAAAGTACAGTTTGCCAAAATCAGGCTGAGATATGCAACAGCTGAAATGATGCCTTGGTTGCTGTGAGTAGTTAGATTTTCCCAATTTGTGCTGGTATGAAAATGAATTTTGTTCCTTTATTGCTGCAAAAAGCAGGTTTTGTAAAGGGACATTTTTAAAGAAAAAGACATTTTGTAAATTGAAATAAAAAAAAAAAATAAAAAAAACTGCAATTCAGAAATGAAACTTTGAAAACATTTTAATTGAAAAAAAAGCTTGATTGTAACTTTTCTCAGATTTGGTTTTTTTCCAATTTTTTTTTAATTTATTTTTTTTTATTTTTTTTAAATTTTTTAACAGATTTTAAAGTTGTATTTTTTCTAATTAATTTTTTTCTGATCTTTTTTTCCTTTTTAATGGTCATATATATATTTTTTTATTTATTTAAAATATTTGAATTAAGGAATGCGAACTGCAATCTCGTCAATATAGTTTTCCAGATCAAAATCACTTCACTTTTGGGGGCGAGCTTTCCTCTAGAGTGAGGAGCAAATACCATTTTCTATTGGTCTGCTGGACTATGGAAACATTATTATTGTGTTAGGCCTAATGTGAAGAAAATGTGATCTGTAAAACCCCATTTTAAAAGAAGGCTATGTGTAAAACTCAATCTGAAAAACAGAAAGATTTTTTTATACATTTTTATAAATTTGGAAAAATATAATTTGAACATATAAAACCTGTTTTTTAATAATAAATTTAATTTTTTTTTAGGTGTCATTTCTGCTTTGCATTTTTCTTTTATTTCAATTTACAAAGTTTGTAACAGCAATGGAACCAAATTCACTCCATATGATATGTAGGATCTAGGAAATTCATATTTCACAAACGAGCTATTAGAAAAAAAGTATCCCTTTCTGGAGGATGAAAAAAAAACACATGGTGCTGCTTAGGAGTGGTGTGCATCGCCCTTAACCATCACATAAAAAAGTTGGGTGTAACGCATGTAGAAACAATATCCTCCGGACAGTTTACTAGGAAAAACATTCCAAAACATCCACCTCTAATGATCTTCCTACATGACCGAACAGAGAGGGAACATGTGAAAAACAGATCAGGGCTAACAGTCTGGTAAGGCAGCAGAAAATAAAAAACATGATCTCATAGCAGGAAGATCTCAGTGAGATCAATAAATATCAGCTGCTGTGATGAAGCATAAGCCTGTTGTGGGGTGTATGTGTGTGTGTGTGTGTGTGTGAAGGGGTCTTAGGTTATTTTGAGCTGTGAACTGTTTTATCTTGCTGCCTTGGAGAGGTCTGGGGAACGTGTCACTTCCTCTAATTGTCTGCGTTACAATCATTCTTTTTTTTTCTTTTTTTTAACAATAACAGAGGAGTGAGTCACATCTTATTAAACAAAAATCTAGTGATCAACAGGAACAAAAAAATATGACATTCACGTTCAAATCACATCGGCATTGGGCTTATTATGTGGGCTTATTAATTATTCTGTGGTGGATGTTTCTGTTTTTTGTTTTCTTTTATAGGATCTGTGATTTGAAAGGAGTAAAATAAAGATTTACTGATCTTGTAAAAATCAAAAACAAACCAGTCATAAAATTCCAGCAGATTAAGGATACACATTTTTAACGGGGTTGGTAGCTTTACTGCAAGTACTGAAGAGTTCTGGAAAAGGAAGTCTAGCACGGGATTGCATCCGGATCAGTCGCCACTTAATATGCGCTCTATCTCTTCCAGTCTCTTCAGAGCTGCTGCTCTTTTCTCCTCTATATCTTTAATCTCTTCCGTGGACTTGCCCTTAGTCCGTTTGCCAGCCTGGGTACTGTCTAAAGGTTCTGTTTGGTCTGCCTCTCCGCCTCTGAGGCCTTCTACTGAGGATTTCCGCACATTCTTCTCATCTCCATCTCCCTTTCCAACAGCATCAGCACTCCTCCCTTCCTTAACACCCAAAGCTTCCTGTGGCTTCTCCTCATTGGCTCTCACTTTTGAGAGCGGCTCTCCAGCTGCGCTCATGGCAGCCATCTTACTGCGTACAATGTTCAAATGACGACGAACATACTCCTCGTTTGGCGCCAGAGCCAGTGTTTCCTCCAGGCATCGCTCGGCCTGTGGCAAGTCCCGCTCCTCGAAGTAGACCACGCATAAGTTGTGTTTTCCTTGGACGTTGGTGGGGTCCATTTGCAGAATTCGTTCAAAGCAAGTTTTAGCACCCTTAGTGTCTTTCTTGTGGTTCATGAGGATGTCGCCTTTCAGAATCAGGCCCTTTATGTGCTCAGGGTGATGTCGAAGGAGCTCATCTAACACGGGTAATGCATCCACCTCCCGTTTAGACTGAGAGTAAAGTAGAGCCAGGTTAAAAAGGGCGCTGCGGAACCCAGCCTGCAGGCCAATGGCCTTTCGCATCCAGTGCTCAGCTGCGGCGTTTTCATTTGCGTCCATGGCCAGCATGCCAAGGTTAAAGTAGCCATTGGCGTCATTGGGTTCCTCTTCCACATAGGTGAGGAAACGACGGTTGGCTTCAGGCCAGAACTTTGGCTCTCCTGTAAGGAAGCAGAGACAGTTTAAACTCAATTTCTGACAAACAAAGTTGAGTAAACAGTTTCTTTCAAAGAAAACAGCTGGACGTTCCTTTAAAATGCTAAATGTTTTTAAAGCTGACCACCTTCCAAATCAGTTTAGGGTATAAACCCTGACATTGGTGACATTAGAATATAATAAGACATATTTGACTCTCAAAAGGCGGGATTTGCAGAAAAAAAGCTCCACAGGGAGTTTAGTTTATCTGTCTGGTTCAGAGAAGAGAAGAGAAGGAGCATGGAGTCATTGCTGTTATATATTGGAGGCCTGATGGATATGAACCCTCAAGCATAAACTGTTTAAAATGCGGATGAAAAGTAGTTCACGTGTGTTTTAAATGGCACTGCTTGTATGAGTATGTATCGCGCGTTTGCACTTTTGGTAGAAATCTGACTTCATCATTTTCTTCTTCATATTCTGATAGGGGGCAGAACATCGAAAATCAATTAATTTACTTACTGTCTGTTGTTCTTTGACCACAACTGGCTGCTGCTTTGACCCAAAGCATTGAAGGACAGCCGGGCTCTATTTTGTAGCTTTTTCAATTGTCAGCATGTGGCTTTTTGATAGTTCTGTGGTACTACTAACTAAGATGGTGCCATGACTGTTTATGTCTGCTCATCTCAGCCGGTGCAGGAATCCTATTTATCCCCCAAAAGGACTATGTAAACACTATCAGGAGAGACGCTTCGAGTATATAACCTTATGATTAAATGGTTTTTGGTCTCTTCTGTACAGGCCTGTAACATGACCATGTACCTTAAAAAAACACATTGCTTTGGTATAAAATGACTCCCATTTATTTAGCAGTTTTAGCCACTTTTCTCACTTCAAATGAACAAACATATGCCTTTATGACAAGATATGACATTTTAGCTCTTGAGAGCCTGTAAATTGGGGGTAAATGGCCAGATTAAGTTTAAAACTTAATAGATCTAAATACTTTGTTAGATCATAGTTCTTGAATAAACATATAAGTTCAACACCCCCATTAAAGATCATTGTGTTTTTGTTTTTCTTTATATTTGGATCGTGTGCTTTCAGTTTTGCAGTTCAGGTTGCTTAACCAAAAGGGTGTGGCCTACAACTTGCAGCTTTCACCTGTGTTATGCATAATATGTGGCCTTTGCATGTAGGGGGTTTTCCCTAAACCTGTCTGAGAAAGCGATCTTCATTCTGATATTTCTGATTCTTCAAATGCATTTAGTGCTTTAACTACTGGCAAACTGGTTGCAATTTGTATTTAATGTTTTATTTTCTGTATCAGATTGTTCTGACCTGCAAGTTTTCCCCAGCAGACGGAAAGGAACCATCTGTATGTGTTTAGAAATACCTGGGGAGTGAGATCAATTTACTTCTACATCCCCATTACACATTGGATGATGTTCGCAAGACATTAAGAACAAGTCTGGATTAGGGAAGAATAGCATGATCTGACAGTAACTTTTACCTTTTCTCCACTGGGATACAGAGTTGTGATTGAGAGGTTGAGAGACTCATTTTTAGAGTTATAACATAGAACTGCAATTATATATTTAACAAAATTCTATAATTTTCAACTTCACAGTTCTTCAAGTGGAAAAATCAAAGCAACTGTCTCCAAGAAGTGGTCGTTTTAAAATAATACATATATTTACAGGTTTTTTAGTTGGTATATCTGTCTTTGTAGAGGATGACGTGAAACGTTATGTGCAGATTTTGATTTTTTATCAGCGGTGTCCCTCATTCCAAAGACCAACCCACTACAATTTTGAGTTTTTTAAAAAGATCTCCAACATTGTGTGATAGGAATATTTGGTGGAACAAGCAGTTTCCCACTAAACCAGAGGGTGGCAGCAGCGTTTATTGACAGCCACAGCATCTGACTCAAAAAGTCTGGAGGTATTTGGATGGGATTAAATTGATCTCAGAAAAAAACATTTTAAAACTTGGCATCATTTTTTTTTATCTAGACCCATAATTCAACTAATATCAAAGTGGGTTTTACAATTTCGGAATATTGGACGAATAAGAAACAGTCCTGCAGTGATGCTAAGAAACTAGTCCATGTATTGATAATCTCAAGGCTGGACTACTGTAATTCTTTACTATCAGGAAGTCCACAAACTGTAGTTAAAAGCCTTCAGCTGATCCAAAATGCTGCAGCCAGAGTTATGATGAAAATTAAAAAGAGAGATCATATCTCTCCTATCCTAGCTTCTCCTCATTGGCTTCCTGTTGAATGCAGAAAAGAATTAAAAATCCTCCTTCTCACTTATAAAGCTTTAAATGGCCAAGCTCCATCTGATATCAGATATATGATTGTTCCTATGTTCCTAATAGAGCACCTTGCTCTCAATCTATAGGCTGGAGCAGCCTACCGATTGGATGGGCGCTGCACCACATAGTCCGTTGCCGTCAGGAAAGCAAGTGCAAATGGCCTACTGGGGCTGCACCAAGTGAGCCAGGAGGGCCAATGAAGGGAGGTTGTCCACAAGAATGGATCATCTCACTACTGAGCTGGCCCAAATGAGGGCCCTTCTCCAGTCCTTTCAGGCTGGTGGTGATCGCAGCGCAGCTCTCCATCCCGTGCAGGATGAATCAATGATGTCAATGATGACGATGCTATTTCAGTGGTGGCCTCTGGCACCCATTTCTCTGAGGACCTTCCAGGGGTATGCTCCAGGTCCTCTGGGTCTGACTCCATTGCCTCCCAGGAAGATAGGGGGGAATCTGTGAGAGCTATATTCGAACAGTTCTTGCTGTTCTACGCAAACTGTGCTGCTTCATAGAGGTCTACGCTCTCTGACTGCTTGAGGTCTCAGTTTTGAATGGGTCATTTTCCCCAAATATAAGTTATGATAAAAAATAACTGTCTTACAACAAAAATAACTGTTTAACAAATTTACTCCGTTGAACAATGTAAGGCGTATGGAGAAGTTTTCTAATGAAACAATGTTTGATGGATGCAAGTTATCAATAAAGTATTACTTCATCTAAAGTTGATAAGATATTATTGAACAACTAAAAATTAATTGATGAGTGGCAATTTTTCATAAAGAATTCAGTTTTCTCTTGTGTCAAGGGAATTGTTCTAGCATAGTGGATGGTAACTGTGACATTGTTGGATTACACTAAAAACAGAGAGCAATCTGGTTATAAAGACATGTGCTGTTGCTGTTAAACTGGTTGTTCTGGTTGCTCTCAGAGGTCTGTTAAAACTCGACTCCATGAAGTTTATGAAATCAGAAGCTTTCCCTAACGACCTCCACTTTTTTATCATTACATCTTACCTTTCGAGCACAGCATAGCAATTGAAGTTGCATATAGTGTGAAATATTCCCAGCAAAAAGATCAATCAACTTTTAATTAATTAATAGATGAATAAATTGAATTGCTAGTTTGGATGAAATGGAAAAAGCTAAAGTGTCAATGCCTGCACTACAGCTTGTTTGACATCGTTGTAGGCTTTTAACCAGGGAAGACCTGCCTAAGCCAAAACTAAATAAACAGTTTAAAACTGAAAACAAATCACATGCAATCTCGAGAATAGATTGTAGGGTTAGATATGACAAAGAATGATAGAATAATAGAAGAATAGAAGCACGTTTGACAGAGCCAAGGTGAAGTCTTCACACCAATGAACATGGATGTGGTATCTTGCTAAGGGGACTGCTTGGTTAAGTTAACAGCATATATACAAATTTAGAAACAGTATGGTGTTTTAACGGGGAATTAAGCACAGAGACATTCAGAATTGGCTTTTAATTGTATAAAGCAGTACTATCAGGAAAAAAGATTTCCAGCTAGACTAACATAAGCATTAACATTCAGATTAACTTTGACTTTGTATTGATCTCTTAAGCATACCAACAGGTTTCTGATATTTGCGAAAGGAAGAAAAGGCTGCCAAACCCTCCAGTCAGACCTGCTGCAGATAAAACTGACTGATCATGAAATGTTTTCTTTGTCACAGAGTCAAAAAAAAAGGAACTGACAGAAACTTGGCCCTGATCGCTTCAGCATGGGACCAGTTCTTAAGAACCTCGTTACACCCTAAAGGTAATAACAGGTTACTTCCTTCCTTCATACCAGTTTGAGGGGTGATGCTGTAAAGTGGATCGACAAGTGGAGACGTGTTCTTCCATCTCCTCACACATTTTGTTACAGTTAATTTACAGGGATCACAAGTGTGGACTGGTCCAACTTTTTCTAATGGGTCACAAATCATCCACAAAAGACTTCGTAAGAAAAACTTTTCCCTTTGGTGTAACTCACCAGACTCCTGCATGAGAAGAGCTGAATTAAAGAGCGCCAGTTTGTGGCGTGGATTGAGCTCCAAGGCGTGGTTAAAATTCTTCAGGGCTTCGGATGGATCTTTCATCTCGATGTTGACTATGGCAAGGTTGTACCAAAGGTCAGCGTTGGTTCCGTCCAGCTCCAAGGCTCGGAGATAGGCTTCACGGGCTTCAGTCAGCTTGTTCATCTTCAGCAGCAGCTCCCCTCTGTCAAATAAACAACCAACCTCACGTTGCAAGCTTTGATGATTGGCAACAAACAGCCAATATGGGCCAACATCTGCAACAATTTTGTGATTTAGGTAATTACTCTGTTACTCTGCCTTGAAATTTCATTCACCCCCCTCTACGTTTGTTCCGTCCTATTAGAACCAGGACGAAAACAGGCTCGCAAAGAGGAGCATGGCCGTAAGCCAAGACATTTAAATAAATTTTACTGGTATTTTATTAGATGGACCAACATAACAAACAAAGCTGTAAAATAGAAGAATTTTTTTTTTAATGACGTTCACTTTCCCTCTCCACCTGAAAAAAAAACACCTCAATTAAACTACTATTCACTTTTTATGTTAATGTAGTATAAATCCAAGAAAGAGTTTTGCTGTAAAGCCTTTGTAAACAAACAAGCACTAGTTATGATGTCAAAGAAAAAAAAAAGAAAGTGTAGTTTAGTAGTTTAGAGTTAGGTTAGGTTTTGAAACTTTTACTAAGCAGAATAAAAAAAAACATCCTGAGTGTTATAAGTAAAACAGAATCGACTGTGAAAACACTGTCATCATGATGAAAATTGAGGCATCATGCTGTGAGCATTTTAGAATGACCTAGAGCCCCAAACTTCCACTCCTCATTTGAAGTTGATAACATCAAATAAGGGGTTAAAAAAAATAATAATAAAAAAAGAAAGCATTTTTTTTGTATCTTTGACTTCTCTCTCAGATTAAGGGAAATCTTTAAAAGTTTTAACTCTTCCCGGTCAGTTAAGCAGTGCACTCGCATTCCCCCTCTCTACTGTTTACCAGCCAGGTGCCAGGTGGCTAAGCATTTAAAGGTAGATGGTTGACATTCAGAAAAAATGTTGCAAACAGTCTGTTGCAAAAGAGACTATTTACAACTTTCAGATGCTTTAAGAGATAAAGAGAGTGGAAGGGAGCTTCCCTTTATGTGTACCTGACTGGAACCAAAGTACTCCCCTACTGTGGGCCTATCATGTCAAGCTGCCAACACTAAGGGCGTTTTTTAGTAAATTGCTTTTTTATGTCTTCATTGTTGCACAGCATTTTGGTCAACCACCTGTTGCTTTCAAAAAACGAGGCAAATACATGTGTTATACTATGAACTAAATAAAACCCAAAGCTAAAGACAACCCCCCGCAAAAACATCTAAATTATAATGGAGATTGTAGTTATTAAGGGTTGTGAATACATTAATAGTAACTTTTGTTTCCTTTATTGAAAATGGAAGTAAGCCCAGCACATCTTACCTGCTGATGTAGGCCTGTTTGAAGTCTGGTCTCATGCTGATTGCTTGTCTGTAGAGCTGATCGGCTTCCTCCAGCCGAGAGTCGTTGGCCCGTATCAGATTTGCCAGGTTTATGTAAACATTAAGGTGATTTGGGGCCACGCGTGTTGCATACTTCTTCCCTGGAATAATCTGGTTAGTGTAAAGGAGCAAATATTGTGTTATTAATATAGTAAAAATAAGATTAATGTTAGCAACACAAAGAACATTTTGTGTTTTTTGGGAACAGAACGGTAATTTTTAATTAAAGTAATTCATTTTACCTACTTCTGTTTGAAATCCTGATTGCTTTAAAATCATTGGCATTTATTGTGAGCTGCATTATTAAGTTAGAGGTTACTATGACATAAGAAAACAAAATAATTAGGCGGGTGTAGCAGCCACAGGTGGTAAACAGAAAGGGAATTTCCTAGGAAACGTAAAAGGCCTTTTATGCATCATCTTGTCTTCATGCCAAATAGGTGGAGACCGTTTCGCATTTGTGAACAGTGGCATCCTGCAGTTTACTTTCTTTTGAATGGGGGCAAAGTCCAAACTAAGACAGAAATCATGATGCAGGGTGGTAACAAAAGAAAACAGATTTCAAAAGAAATCTACTTGGTGGGGTAGCTTTTAAGTGAAAAGGCGTAAGCCAAATGAGACATACCTGTGGCATGAGGGATTTGGCAACCAGATAAGCCTCCTCGGCCTCTTTGGACTTATTCAAGTTCTTGTATGTTCTTCCAACGTTCATATGAGCTCCAATATCATCTGCAGTAAGAACAAAATATACACGTTTGACAAATTTACTTTCAAAAGCAAACTTCTTCGCAAGCTTCAGGGAGCACAATAAATCCTGTAGAAAACTAGCAGCCAAACTTTGGACGGTAGGAATCCATTTGTGATAATAAAAGCAGGAAATCCTTTGTGGGTGAGTGTGTTTTCATTGTTAATCTTGGGGAAACACTTGTGGGTGGTGCACCGACAAAATGGGATGATCTCCCAGCTGATGGCAGGGTTCCTGAAAACTTAGGAATGAGAATAATCCCCGTGTGCAGATTTCATATTCACATCTGCAAATTTTATGCAATAAAGTCAAACAAGGCTACATGGATGATAAACCTCTTAAATGATGGGCTGGATCTGGACGTTTTGAGGAAAGAGGAGATCAAGAGCCACTATTAACAGATTAAATGCACAAACAGACACCTCTTTCACCCATCAGTAAAATGGATTCATTCACTTTTCCTCTCCATGGACACAACGCTCTCTTCTATACTTACTTGCACGGCATTATTCACAGTTTAAATTTAAAGTGTTCTCACTTTATTAATCTGTTAGGTTTTAGATATCAAACTTGCTTTTGTTTTCCTGTTATTTTTATTAATCTTTTTTAAGGCAGCAAAAAGTTCATAAAAAAACAGAAACAAGTTTGTGTTTAATGAATGAAACTACAACTACAGCTTTAAAATTAAACTTCAACAAAAAATGTAATGTGAGGGGAAAAGTATGTTGTTTGTGCCTGTGGGTCATTTTTTACACAAAGAGAACGCAACTGTGAGAATTCTTCACAACGTTCACAGTTCCAGGGAAACTAATTTGTCACTTATTCCTGTTTGAGTATCGGTTAAGTGCAAGGTTCAGCTAATGCTGAATATCTTCAAAAAAGGTTCCCGACCCAAGGCAAAAAAAAAAACATAAGGGTAGCAAACTGAAGCTGGCGTTGACAGAAAAAGACGGCGATAAATGAATTGAGTCATCTATGCAGTCAGTTCTTCAGGATTGTGATCCTACCTAAATATTGTGTTCTCGTTCGGAAGGGCAGAGTTGATGACAGTGCAGAGTCCCCAGTCAAAGCTCTCTGAAGCCGGACAGCCTGTCTGTTACTCAGCTGTTCACAGTGACTGTTATTGAATATAAAGAGTTTTTCGGGTTTGTGATAAAAAGTCTAAGTACCAGAATATATAATGTAGGGCTGAAACAATAAATCAGATAAATCATGATTAATTTGTTATTGAAATAATCTTCAACTAACTGAGTAATCGACTAATCGTTAACTGGAGTATAGACTGTAAAAAATGCCTTTAGCAGACTGAGCGATCCACTTAGATCAGAAATTATAGCTGAATTGCAAAAAACAAATATAAACATTTTGCATTTAAGATAAAAAATCTTTTTCATCTGTCAGTATGCTCTATCCAGAACTCATCAAGTGGAAAAGTTTTAGTTTGACCTGGTTTAATTCTGCAAAAAGTATTCTTTGAGGAAACTTTGGCTATCAGATTATTAATCGATTCATCGAAAAAAATAAATTGCTAAATTGCAGATTGATCAAATTGCTAAATAATCTTTAATTGCAGTCCTAATATAATAAAATATTTTTTGCCAGCAGGATTTACCAATCTTAGTTAATGTTGTTATAATGTTGTTATAATATACTGTTTTGCTAATGTTTACATTTTAGTAGAGTAATAACGATCATAGCACTCTCTTTTCCTCGTAAATAAAAAAAAATAACAGCCTTCTGGCTTTTTAGGTAAGAACAGTAGAGTTTAACCCCTTCAAATATATTTCTTTTTTATGTTTTTAGGATGACAGCTCTGCAGAAGAAGAAATCACGGCTGGCATGTAGTGTCTGTCTCCTAGGCATCTCCTGGATCAGTTTCTCTGATTGGTTGAGGCTCAGCGTCCAGTTGTAAAAGTTCATATTTCCCTACGCCAACATCTACCACTCCGGATGCTGGACAGATGAAAGCTCAAAATGCAATGATAGCAACGTTTGAGATGCTGCAAGACTCTTTCCCACATGCTGCAAGACTGCTTCCCACATTCAAATGGTGCGGCTGGACCTCCAGATGCTCCTCAATGCCGTACCCTTTAGACTTTGTATGTAAAAAAGACCTGACGCTCAAAACGTGATTGGTGTGAAGATGAAAAAATAGCATCAAATCCCAGAATTTGGCAAAAACATTTTAACACAAACATTTAACACCTTTTTTGAACTTGAAAATCAACTAGAGCATAAATATATACATAACATTTATTACAAAAATCACCTTATCACATTCTATTAATAATTCATTGGAATTTTTTATTTGGTTAATCTGTACAGCACCAATTGACCAAGCATGTCATCTGAAAGGCAATTTACTGAGTCAAACTTTCAGCATGATCGTGTGGTGTCCAGGGGGTAACGAGGGGCAATCAGCCTCCCACGACCACCTTCCGATCAAGAATCATGAGGTTTGGAGAAAATCAAACATGTTTGATTTTCAGTCAGCCGTTGTTGGCAAATCACTCAGTGGGCACGCGCAAACAAGGATTCTTCTTCGTCTTCCTCTCAGATGAAAACAAGCATGGCGGGGGTGCGGGTGAAATGGATTTCTTCTCACAGACTGTAGTAGCCACGCTTGCTCAGCCATGTCTTTGTCCAAATATGTCATTGCCTTTTATTTGTAGGGCTTTCAGCACAAAATTGCACAAATTGCCAAGGCAGCGCATTTCTCTCTAGTGAGCTTCACATTCCTCTTCTACTGCTTTGGCTTCCAGATAGACGAGTCCGAGTAGCGCCATCTCACTGTGGAGCTGAGTCCAACGTGGTTTTTAGACGTACAGTGTGAGCAGGTAGATCGCATCAGAGCGTCGGGCCACACAGTGTGAGAACATGCATTGTGAACTGTGAACTTACACTGTACCACAAAACCCTGCGGTTTTGTTGTACAGAGTGAGCTGCAACTGCATGCAATGATTGAAAAAAATTACAGTGTTGAGCACACAGCATCAGTGGACAGTTGCTTTGTTTTGTTGACTTTGCAGTGATCACTCATACAGATAATGCTTGTAGTGAGACCAGAGAGGAAAAAATTCACTTTCACATTAAGAAACCTCCAGCAGAACCAGCTTCAGTGTGAGCGGCCTTCTGTAAGGCTGTGGGCTTGAGAAAATATACAGCTAGTCACAGACAGATGGGCCCATAGCTATGTTTAGGAGAGAAACAGGACTAAAAACAGGAAAACAGGCCCCCCTCTATCATCTATAAATACTGCTCCTTGGCATACATCTACATTTCAGACCAAAAAAATGCTTCTTTCCACATCTCTATCGCTGTGTTTGCATTTTTCATGTGTCTATCGAATCGTGGAGTATGAGTATGGGTGTGACAATACATTGTCTAAATGATATAATGATGCTAAATGGAAACTTTGATCCACATTGTTATTTTTAAGATGCGCCTTTACTTTGAAATTCACAAGGAATTGAAAAATATTGGGCAAAAGAAAAAAAAAGATTAGATTAATCAGACCTTTCTTTCCATTGAAACTCCAACTCAATGACAATAAATGTAAGTTTTTCATAACCATTTCAACTCAGTTCATAACGAGGATAAACAAGTATGTGGGCATATTCTGACTCCTTGGTATGTTTGACTGTTTTGTTTCTTTGGGTAGGTTTTTCAGATTGAATTGGATTTCTGTTCTTTTTTTTTCTCAGGATATACAGTAGATATATTATTCACAATGTATTTTTTTTTATTGTATATTTATTCAAAATAAAAGATAAAAAAAACAGGTGATCCATTATCATCATTAACCTTTTCTTTTTATAATTAGAAGACATATGTTTTTGATTTAAATATCAGTTTTTTAGAGTTAATAGTAATGCAAATTACAGTGTTTAATAGGCAGATATCGCATTGTTTCGATCATAGATTTGTGAATTAAATGAGAATTGTATGGTTTTGACATTCAAACACATTTTTATAGAATTGTGTGGTTCTGACATCCAAACACATTTTTATAAGTGCATTGGATAAAACTGGTGGTTTACAGCTTTACAAATTAGTAGCTCTTATAGCTTGAAGGAGTTTACTAAAGACAAAACAGCATTTTTGCTTTCCCTAGAAAGACTACCACTCAACAAATAAATAAAAAAATCTGCGTTTCCTGGCAAACCAACATGTACCATCAATTTATCAAAGAAATTTCTAAATGATTTAAGGATGCATCTCACCTGGCTGGACCCGAGTGGCCTGGAGAAAATACCGGAGAGCCATTGCATAGTTGTTCTGGTTCTCTAAAGCATGGCCAACATTATTCCATAACTTGGCATTGTTCTTGTTGACCTGAAATGGCATGCGGTTTATTAAATCAAAAAAAAAAAAAAAAAAAGCAGTCTGAGGAAGAACAAATGATCAAAGCTGTGTTACCTATTAGGCATTTTAATTGAGACTTTCATCACGGGATAATTAAAACTTTTTCAAACTATGAAAAGCTGCCAATGTGCTCTTACCTTCAGGGCAGAGGTAAAAAGGGTATATTCTGACTCCCAGTCCCAGTTCCTGTTGAAAGTTTTCACTGCATGTGTGGTTAGCAACACGCCAATCATCAACCAGGAAATCTTCTTTAATTGTCTGTAGGTGACAGTTTTAGACAGACCTTGAAGTTCTGTTGTTGCCGAATGATGAGACAAATGAGGTGAGTAATGTTTAGGGCAGCACCTCTTACGTAATTATCTCAGTAACCAGTTAATTACTTATTATTTTTCTATTAACTTAAATCTTGTGTTGTTTATTTTAGTTTATTTTACTTTTTTGAGTTTTTTTAATTTGCATAATATTTAAAAGAGAAATGAACACTTTACAATGCCTAGGGGTTAGTAAAAGAGCTCTGAAATTAAATTAATATCTCAAAATAAAGCAACGTTAGAAAGATAAAAAAAAAACAAAAAAACAACTTGACTACTTTAAACAAATTGCAACTGGCAAAATGGAAAAACATATACATACATTTACATTCAGAGTTTTTATTTGGTTATAAACAATCAATTCAATTTTTTTCGGAAAAAATATTTATTTTATATTTAATTTGTCTTTATTACCGCTTTAGATAAGTTTCAGCAAATTGATGGATTAACACTACAAATTTTTTTTTTCTTGGGTTAAGCAACTAAGTCACAAACTTTGTCAATGGAGTAAGACGATTTTTTTTTATAAATTAAGAAAAAAAATTAACCGCAGTCTCTTAATCAAGTACATAATATCTAATTATCTTATTTTAAGGGTAAATATAATCCTTCCATTGGCAGGTCATCTTATTTACCTTCTCAACTGAAGGGTAATACAATTACTTTAAGAAACTTATACAAATACTTCAGATCGTTTTTGCAGTGTAATCTTTGTGTCGTTAATTTAGTGAATGATTTGATTTAATTTCCAAATTTGTTGACGATTATTGCAAAAATCAATTGATCACGATTATCAGATTAATCATTTCAACACTTCTGATGTTAAATATATTTTAAAAATAAACACTGTTTAGAAGACTGTTGGAGGCTTGTAAATGTACAGTGTTCTAACTTCTTTTTTTTGAGGATGTTGGGAAAATGTACAGAGGAGGATGCTCAGGTCAGATGAGCCCAAGAAACACGTCAGAAGTGGAGCGTCCCAAAGCATGGGAGTAATTGCTTTTGGCGCTTCACGCCGAGATGCTTGAACCTGAAACCTAAAACTGGGCACCACTATTTTAGCAGCATAAAGACAGCTGGACGGTCTCTTAAGGCCTTTCAGATCAATGCACACTGCTTCTTATCTTCTTACTGGCCTCATTATGTGAAACAAAAACGCCCTTCATCAGACATTATATACAGCTCCACCACTTTGGTAAATCAATACATTTCAGACAGAGACTACTTCTTATTAATCTCTTTAACTCCTTTTTTCAGTATGGAGCTATGATGGTGGGGGTTATAAATGGTAACGAGAACAAGATCTACACAGTCTAACAAAAATGTTCACACCCTTGTTGATTTTTAATTGACAGTAGGTCTTTTTATAGCAACCTTAATGAAATGTTATCAGGATTTTAAGGGAGACCAATGAATGATGCCTTTTTTTCTCTTAATCAGTCTAAGATGCAATTTAACTCTTTCTTTACTCATCAGTTATTTTGTAATGTCGTCGGAGGCTAATGTGATTAAATATAACACAGCTCTAACTGTAAGTAGCTGACAATTAGAGCAGAAACAAGTAGCAACCTACCGTTGATCCCCAAAGAAAATATTAAAAATAAACAAAGAGAGAAACTGTACAAGGAAACATTCCTACAGACCAGATCTTTGTTTACATTGTAAAAAAAAAAAATCCCTTTTTCTATGTGCCAGATCTATGTTGATTCAGAGACACATTTTTCTTTAGTACGGAATGTTCCTTTGTTTGTTCCTCACTAGCTTTAACAGGCTAATCAAATACCAAATAAAAGCATGACTGAATTAAACGAACATTCTCACATAAAGGATATTAATCCCAGTGTCATGATACCTAACAGGAAGATGACATTTTCAAGCTACAGGTTTTTATGTACGTATAACATGGAGATATAATGTACACATCTACTTATTTATAAGGCTTTACAGTTTGAGTTTACATCCAGTGGACTTACTCAACTCTAAAAAAATATTTTTACCTGGATTATTGAGATGGATCGGGTCTATTTATTGTTATTATTTTTGGACAGTTACTTACCCTTTATGTGAGACGATCTTGAATCCATGTGCTACAAGAACACAGAATCCCATACTAGGAACGTAAAGCACCCTCTCTGCAACAACAAAGCCCACAGGAAAGAAGAGGTTGGAGGCTGGAATGAAGGGCAGGACGATCAAAGACAAAGCCTGCAAGGGAAAAAAATGAAACAAAACAACAACAAAAAATGTTTAGAGATGTCTACTAAAAAACATATGAGTATAAAGCAAACAATAAATTTAAGCTTGACACATTTAAATAAAAGGAAATTCTGATAAATAAAAAACAGTCCAAACTTCCCAATGTTGTCTATGGTTTTTAAACAGAGGTGGGTAGAGTCCTTAATTTCTTTTATTTAAGTAAGAGAAGCACTAGATTAACAGTTTTGTTACTCCAGTATAAAAATAGAAAGGCGTCATCTGGGTATTTCTATTTTGTAAAGGGATATTCAAGGAAAAAGCAATGAATAAAGGACACTTTGGAAAGTTCCTTAATCAAAAAAAGTTTCTGGGAGTGACTTTACTTCTCAGAATCTATTAAAAAATCACATTAATTTCTTTTCTCTGTATTCCTTTTATTTATATATTTTTTTCAGTTATCTTTATACTATTTTTTGTGGTACATTTTAAGTTGACAAATTTAAATTCTTTTCCAGTCCTTTTCACCTCAATCCAAATATTGTTGCCAACGTCGAGCAGACCAATAGAAATGCATCTTCGTTCCCCACTCCATGAGAAAGCCCGCCCCAGTTAAGTGGATAGAATGTAATTTAATAAGTTGCAAATAGAAATTCTTGCAATTCATAAAACTCAATCTAAAAAAATGCCAACTTAAAAAAAAAAACAATAATAATAAAAAGATAGCAAAATTACTCTCAAAACGTTTTATTTTAAGTTCATTTTCTGGATTGTATTTTATTATACTGCAATTTACAAAACCTGTTCTTTGCATGCAAGAATAATCCAACAAAATTCTCTTCATAGATATGTGCAAATTCACATTATTCTATAAAATAAATAAATACTATAATATAGAACAAAAATAAATTCATGCAGAGGAAACACTTATTTTTAAAATAGTCTCATCAAATAATTTACAGTAGGTAATGGATATGTTCTAGGAAAAGATAAAGAACTTCCACAGACAATATCTACATTTTACTGTATTTTTACCTGTTGTCTGAATAGCTTAAGTTACTAGTTAATGAGTGGAATAACCAGAAATGTTACTCAAGTAATATTAGCAATACCCCTACAAGATTATTACTTAAATAAAATGTACAGTGAAGTAACATTACTCCTAAATTTACTTTTTTTATCGTAAATTTGACTCATGTGGATGTACTGTAACTAGTTACTATCCACCCCTAAACTTCATGAGGTGGCACCACATCTGTTGAGATCGGCTTATGGTGCCCAATGCTGGGGTTCTATTTCAGCTTCGAAAGGACCATTAAAATGCTATCAGGATGCCTATTTGAGCATTACAACTTTTGGAAGATGTCATTAATCCCAACAATTAAAAAATAAATCAAATCTATAAAATCGGTTCAATAACCAGTCAGAATTCTAAGATTATTTATTTTAGCCGCTTGCTGAAATACATTCAAACAAACTATCAGGAGAATGTATGAAAATATTAGAGGCTTTGCACTCTACTGGTCAATTCATTTTCAAAAACATTTTTCCAATTGAATAAAAATTTAATTATCTCAATATGTTGTTTCTCAAATAGTTAATAGGAAGATCAGAAGAGATGATCAGAGATTCAGATAAGTGCATGTAGGATTTTTCCATTTTTTTTAAATTTTACTTCACCTAAATGATCAGATGTCGTTTATCTGAGTAACATTGAGATATTTTACAAGGCAAACAGCGTTCTCCCACTAAAGACATTAAACACAGAAGAATTTCTGAAATCATTTTTAAGTAATGTCTTATGCTCTCTGTGAAACAGCTGGCAACCATGAAAATAGGTTGAGCACGTTATGAAAGTGTTGCACAACAAACTCCAAAATAAAACTAGCAAACCAGAGAAAACACTGCACAAGTCATTACTGCATTTATTCAGTGATGGTTTGTGTTGCTCTTTTGTAAAATTAAAGCCTTCAGCTATGAGAGGCTGTTGCACAATAAATGCTAATTTTTTCCCCCCAATATCCCACATTGAACATTGCCACCCATGTTTTACAGTCAAATGAAAAAGTTTATTGTTGGCAAAAAAAAAGCTTTGCTTCTTCTTAACCCTCTTTATTTTCATCTCTCATTCTGATGCAAAGTCTTTGAAGCGTCCAAAACAAATTAAACCAAAACTTCTCCAGAGAACTTGGGCAATAAAATGAAGATTTGGCAAATTATGGCAGCTTTAATCCATGGTTGGTAAAGTAAAGCAGGGAAATTTAATAGGGAACAAAAGCACAATTATCTTCTGCATCTTTTAAGCTGTGGACGTGGCTGTTGGAAACTAGGACCCAGCATGTGGCGTAAAAACGCAACAGATCCTTTAAATGTTTAATTGAGAGGATTACAGAGATCAGACCAAAGAGCTTAAGTATAATACAGCCATGCCAGTAAAAGGGCTGAGAAAAATAACTTAAAGGGTTCAAGTACTAAATAAGTCATCGACCTCTTGGTGTCTCAAAGCCCCAAACCGTTGGATAGGCAGAACCAGCAGGAAAGAACAAGTAGTTTGTCCATATGTTAAAATAGGCAATCAATTTTACCACTGAGAACTGTAAGGTTCAACCTCCCAACATGCTGCACAAACAAGCAGCTCAGATGCCTAGATGGGATTGAAACCACATGCTGACGATGCTAATCTATGGCAGGGATTCAACTTTTTAGCCCATGATACCTAAAATTACCAAAGAATGATGACCCCCTAAAAACATCACAGTATTTCACTCTATATTTATATATTAATATAGTTAAGCAATTGCATTCATTTCTTAAATACTTTCATGTTTAAAATTACATTAAATTCATAATTTTAAATGTACCATTTATAATTTAAATGGACATTGAATAAGTTAACTGTACATTTTATAATGTAATGTCATATTTAATATAATATTTGACTCAATATAAATAAAATATCTACATAATTAATGCTATACTTGTTTTTGCACAAGACATTGACACACATGAATTTCAAGTTTAATTTTGTCTCATCATATATGCTTCAGCATTAATCTCAAACCTATCATAATTATCGCAAAGGCTGAACTTAGACAATTGCCCGGGGTCCCTGAGCAAGACCCTTAACCCCAGAATTAATCTAGAAAGTAAAGAGTTGCTGAGGTGTAATTAATTGGAAACTAGAAAAGATTTTTCATATTTGAAAAAATGTCACATGTGTTCCAGAAGTTACTTTTCCCATCAACCTATGTGAAATGGAGATAATTGGTTTTTTTTTTTTTTTTTTTTTACAATTTTTTAAAACACTTAAAGGTCTATGTTTTAACCCAAAGCATATTTAAATGATTTTTAGTCACCATAACTCATTAACCAACATTATCCCATATCTCATGTTTTTCTAACACTGTGCAACACACATTTCTTCCAGGCCATTCTATAGTTTTCCCAACAGGCCTCAGATCTAGATTAATGTCTTAAGATCCCGAGGGACTTTCTCTGCATTAGAGTTCAATCATGACTAAAATGGAATAGCTGTAGTTAACGCTTGACTGAGCAGAAAATTTGTGGAAAGAAACAGAAGAATTTATTGCTGGAATTTTATTACAAATCTAATCAATCTTGTTACTTGTTTGCTCTATAGACCTTTTTTTTTAAAGGCATTTGTAAATACCAGGTGAATGGAAAAGGTGGTAATGCATGACTTTTTTCAAGGAAAAAGTCAGAATACTGTGTAACTGACAAACAAAAAGTACAGCAAAAACAAAGAAACTTTTTTAAAAACCAGATTGACTTAGAAACAATTAATTTTCCTCTCATCTTGTACCAATTTCTCAATTCATCATAGATTACCTGATTTTTACATCTATTTGTTCTGTAATTAATTAATACAAATAAATATGTTTAAGTCATAAGGATACATGAGGAAGTAACGTTGGGTTAGGAGAAGGACGAAATGTCCTTTATTAATTTTTTGCCCAAACAAAGAGTGACATTTTCGCTACAAATTGTGCATGAATGGCAATGAAATAAATAAGCTTTTTTAACCTACTGCAATTACTCTGCACAAAACTAGCTCTGTGTGAAAGGCGTTACTAAAAAAGGAAAAGAAATAAAGGGGGCATATTTGACCCAATATTGAGATATGTGATGAGAAAAAGTTGAGAAAGCGATGAGAGAAATAAATTACATTAGTTCCTAAATGAATTGTAGGACTGAATCCAAGAAAGATTTAAAACTGTAGGGACTGACTTTTGTCGCCTTTACTTTCTCTTCCAGCAAGTAAAACATATTAAGAACCCACATAAAAGCATTTCTCGGTTCAAATGTGGGATGACATAAATTATTATGACAGTAGCTTTGGGTTTGCATTCTTGTGGAGAAGAAACAATTACAGAGTTTAAAACATTTGAATAAAAATGTTAATTAGGTGACCAAACCTCCACTCACCATAATCACAGTCTTGGCTGAGCTGTGACTGTAGCGCAGGCTGTAGTGGGCAAGCAGGCACAGAAGCGTGTAGAACATCACAGTGGCCATGTTACGGAGGTCTAAAAGGGACTCCACCAGAGGAATGGTACCCATTGTCCAGTCGCAACACAGCTCTGAGGGATTCAGTAACAGCCATGCATTTACTGGGAGCAGGTAGTTGAAAGTCAGCTGCCTGGTTGGAGTGGGACTCACAGCTGCTGGGTTATCAAATCTATAAAAAAAAAGTCACATAAGACATTCAGTTAGTTACTACTGCAGGTCAGAAAAATACATTTATATATTATAGTTAAGCAGAATAATACTATGCAATACGCACATCAAAAAGAACGGACTAGTTTGCAAAATAGGTTAGCAAGTCATTCAACTACCATGAATTCAGGCACTCTTGATATATATTTGTTACAAGATACTGAATGCCCCAAAACATGTTTAAAGGGCACTAGATTACTAAATTATAATTGAGTTGCTTCAACATGGGTAAAGCTTCTCTCAACTGGCTCCCTGTTTATTCCAGAATGGAGTTTGAAGTTCACATTTTCACATATAAAGCCCTCAATAATTAAACTACATTATATATCCAAGATCTTACTTTTCTATACATTTCTAAGATAGCCCTTGGCTACCAAGAAGTAGGTTTAACTTTCCTCTTTAAAAAAGATCATAGATAGAGTGGTTTAGGCTGTAGTTATGCTGCTATAGCCTTCTGCTGCTGGAAGACATAAAGACGCCTTTTCCTCCCTCTGCTACTTTCCCCTTCTTACATCTTGGTCAACACACCCCTTCACTAATTCAAACTAATCTTTTTCTACCTGTGTGTGACAATTTCTTGAAACTGACTTAAGAATTAACTGAAATAAAACAGCACTTTAATTATTCTTGGGCATAGTTTGATACATTAAGATAAATATTAAGAGAAAATTTTAACATATTCAATTTATTTGTATATTATTAGACTTTTTTGACTTTTAAGAAAACTGTATTTAAAAAAGGTAAATAGGAAAACAATAACATAAAATAAAACAAGTGTCATTGTTAAGTAAAAAACAAAAGGTTAAATAAGGAGCACTTCTTTGTCTGGCACATCAAATCTTGTTAAAACCACACTACTGGATAAAATCCTTTATGTTCCAAGTGGCTCTGAAGAGAAGCTCCAGCCTAATTCTGGCCTTGACATACCACTTTCACAGAGCTACAGCATCAAGGTAAGCTTCTTACTGTAGTTTGTCAATGCAAGATGAGTAAATGGTCATTTGTGCCTCGCTGATTAAAAAAATGTGTAAGTTGTGCCTTTTGCTTGTTTGTTTAGTTTTGGTATGAATGAATAAAAAGCTTATAAAATCTGTGTGAAAAAATTTAAAACACCAAATTAAGCCTGAAAAGGATCTTCGACCTTATGCAAGCGATTAAAAATGTAAAAAACTTTTTCAGACAGACCACAGAACGGACACTGGTTCAAAAAACCCCAATTAATGAGTGATAAACAAGTTTGTAGCCATGCCACCGTGTAAAGTCCTCCATTGGAGATCACCAGTCTGTTCTTTAGTTTTTGTAATAATGGAGGCTTGTATTTAATCCTCCACTGGTGTTGTTTTTAAAAATTTTCTGAAGAAAAAAAAGAAGTAAAACGAAAAGTAAAAAGGAGAAGAACAGGAAGATTTCCTGACTGTTTTGTACAACACCTAATTTCCACTTAGGTCAGTTCTAATTACTATTTAGGTAATTTGAGTTAGACTTGTTTGATCACGGATTCAATATCACAACTGAAGCACCTGACCAAACCAGATAACTTCTGTTGATAAACTGCTGCTACATAGGAATGTTTCTATACAGCACACTCCAAGTACTTTAGATCTAACAGCTTTAGTAGCGCTAATCTTATGATGTTGAATTGATAACAGTGGTGCGACTGTTTTCCTCACCTAGTAGCAACTCTGTGCATTAAGGCTAAGCTAATCTGCCCAATGGTTTAAAGCTTTGGCTTGTAATAAGTTTAACCCGGACCCTCAGAGGTGATCTTTATAATACTTTGGAATCCAAATTATTTCCTTGCTTCTTTGAAATGCATTAATATAAAAGAGAGAAAATGAGAGCCACCGCAGTATAATGTGAAAGAGCTCCTGGAGCCCAGCACGGCTCCCTTGGTTCAATGTGAAATCAAACTGTTGTTTTATCTGGTGTTGTTTTTGGAAGAGTATATCTTTTTCCACACATGGCTTTGATAGAGCCAAATTTGTTTAATCAGTTTTTGATTTTAGACCCTTACACTTTGATGTTGATATAAGGAAAAACTTATATACACAAAAGGGAGTGTTGGAATTTAGGACTTTTTGGGAACTTCTTTAAAGATCAACAATCTGCTGTCGTGCTGAATTTGCTTGAGATAAAAGTCCTATGCAAACAGCCTTTTAATTGGAGAGTAAATACATTAAGAATTAAGAGTAAATATTAACTCAAATGCTTCAAAAATATTAATTTTGCTTTTTTTTAAGCTCTCTTTAAACTGAAAGTACAGACAATGACAATGATCAAATTAACAATAAAAAGTCTTTTAAAGATATTCTATTCCTTTTATTTTTCAAACATCAGACCTGAGGGCAAAAATGAACAAATTTGCCTGTGAGAATGTTTACAGAAAAAAGAGGCATCTTACTGTTTACATTTTTTCCATTGAATCTTAACACCATCTATCTGTCTTCTGTCCTAATAAGTCCAAAAACTTCCCCATAACAACCCTAATCCAAACAAAATTCTAACAGAGATAAGATCTTGCTGTGTTTTAGAGAAAAAACAAAAAACAAAAAAAACAAAACCCTCCAAACTGGTGAGAACTGAAATAAAATGTGCTATGTTGATTCTCAGTGAGTAGTTAAGAGATGGTTAAACACCAACAGATATGCTGGACAATAACTTGTGTGATGGTTTTAATGGCTGATGGAAATGAGAGTGACAATCATTCAGATCAATTATGCTTTTAAAAGCCTTGTTGTGAAATTTAAAGAAGAGGTAGCGTATCACACGAAAAGCCCTAAACTGTAAAACCATTACCATCAATTCTCTGGCTCATGGGCAGCACCTTGTAAAAGTTCTGCACGGATCCCATTCCTGTCATTAAAATCCTGTGTAGAAGTCTTGCTTTTTTATTCTTTGTTTTACTTTTTTATCGCAAACAATCAGACTTTATTCTTAGTGGTCAACATAATGGACAAGTTCTTCAGTATCTCTAAAAGTCAATAAATGTCTTTCTTTGAACTTTTAGCTGGTTTTTTTACTCCTTTTTACAAAGCAAATGCTTACAGTTTGTTAAAGTACTCAGCACTTATCCACGGGTCATTCAGACTTAAATGGTTCCTGTTGTATCAACATATAACTTTATTACCTAGAGACTCCTTATCACCATCAGTCTGATACCAATAGAGGCACATTTTCACACAAGCTCCATCAGTGACGTCTATCATGAATACTTAAGGGCTTCAACATACCTGAGTTAAATTGAAAACTTGTTACCAGGCCTCAGCAGACATTGATAAGAAGGTAATTCAGTTATTTTAATCAGCCAATTAGGATCAGGGTCACATTTTAAACATGCAGATCACCACCGCTTAACAAATAAGGGAGGACACCCATGACGTATATAATTAGCCACGCTGCATTTAGCCTAAACAACTAAAATAAAACATTTACCAACGTTTGCTAATTTTCTCATATTTATTGTGTCCTCTTGATGCATTTATTTATTACCAATACATCAAAGACATTACTTTTAGATGTTTTTTTTTTTTTGTTTTTTTTTACAGTTGAAGAGAGTTTTCAGAATAGATGCAGAAAGAATATTGATGATGACTAAACTGGAATGCTTTTCAGCTCTATTTTATGGGGTAAGATACCCTTAAATAAAAAACGTATGCCTTGACCTCTGAATTTGTATGGAAAGAGGATATCTGATTGCTCCTCATGGGCTCATTATGCTCGAAGCACCTATGAGCCGCCTAACACAGCATCTCAGCATCTGTGCAGCTTTGCCAGGGGTTGGTTAGGGATGTAGGGGCGTGTTCAGCACAAAAGAGCAATCTGAAAACACCACACTGCACGAGGAAGTGGAAAACCCAGCCGTTTATAACTTTAACAAAGCCTCTTCACGCTGCCCGAGAGCGACAGCAAATCCTTTCCTTGAGTTTTTCCACAATGTGTTGATAGTATCCGCATAGTTCCAATTTGAGCAGAGGGTGTGGAAGCCCAAAATGACCAGAAAATGGCCAGACGGACCTCGGAGATGTGTCAAGCATAAACCAAGCTTTATTGTCTACTCATAGATACATGTGAGATCTGATCTTCATCTATAAGAGTACAAGCCTAAAACTTATGAAAACAAGTTATATAGTTACGACTTTGCAACAATCAGATCACAAATTCAACAAACTTACAGGTATGATTCACAAACTTTTATTCAATTCAGTTTTTTTTTTATATACTGCCAATTAACAACATATGTAATCTCCAAGAACTTTAAAGAGACAATTCAACCAGATTATTAAGTAGATTGATAAAAAGTTTATATAAAGGACACCAGCTGATTGCATCCAGTCATTGGGTTGCAGGATTTGCTCCTTCAGGATCAGTATGTGGGGACAGTAGACATTCGCTTGCATTTTGTCAACTCTACGACAATACCTCACACTGTGCATGTATGCAATGACAGTGGAGAGGAAAAACTCCCATCGCTTTAGAACTGGGGTTGGCAATTCCAGTTCCTGTAGGACGGTATATCCTGCAACTTTTAAAGTCACCCTTGGTCCAACAGACCTGAATCAAATGGCTGACCTACCTCCTCTTTATGCAATCAGTTCCTCCAGAGTTCTCTCAATCATCTTGAACCAAAGACACATCTAAAAGTTGCAGGATATCGGGCACGAACTTGAATTGCCCTCCCCTGTTCTAAAGCGATTGAGTTTTTCCTCTCCACTGTACATTCAAATTGTATTCTAAGCACAACTCGTGTCTTATCCCTCTTAACATCTAAAATGTTTATGCACTTCATCCTGGACTTTTCTTTTTGCAGCTCAAATGAATGTGGATAAACCGCTTGGCTTCTTTGCCTCTTCCATATTTCTCGTTATTTACTCATACACATTATTGCATCCCCAGCCACTCAGTCTTGGTAAATAAACCCAAATGGGTTTATATACCAACACAGAAAAATTGCACAAAGTGTAC